TTTTCTTCAACAAAATATTGATCAAAAGAGCAATAAATTTAAAGTTAATGCATAAACTAATCCACTCATTTTTAAGGTTTAAATTTTATTTTAAAACAATTATTGAAAATAATCTAAACTAAAAGTCTAAAAGTATATAAATAAAAAACAAAATGAAATAAAAAACAGAAAAATATCAAAGTAAAATATAAACAGAGATTATATAAATATATTTATATATTTATATATTACATATGTGTGGGGTCATGATTGTAAACATAATTTATAGGAGTATTATTAACATTCATAACCCAAAGTTGTAGTAGTTTAGTATTTTTGTTTTATTTTTAAGTTTTTTTTATTCGGCTTAAATAAAAAAAATTGTCGAATTTTTTTGCGATAAGTAAAGGCAACTACACATATAAAATAGTAACAAAAGTGTGGTTGATCTATTTTGGGACAAAAATTAATCCCGTCTTGTCGTATATATGTTATGTTTTCCATCTCATAACCGTGGTTTTAATAATAACTTACTCGTTTTTGATCATATATTTTAGCACAACATATAGAGAAATAGGAAAAAGATTTAGACCTGCACGTGCGTGTGGAATTTTATTGGTAGGTATATTCATTTGTTGTATCATTTAAAAGATATGAATTAATTATTTTTATCAAATTTGTGAATGTTTGAAATAATAATCGATTCACAATAATTATTGTATGTGTGAGATAATATTTGTAGATATTTATTTATTATATCATGTATATGATATCAGTTTGACATTTTATTTGTTTTCAATTAGATAGCTAAGGATTTTTTTCTTAACTACTCACCAATTTTTTTTATTTCATTTGTGGAAACTTACTAAAAATTCGTAGAAATGAAATCATAAAAATCTAGATACTTCGCCGGAGCGCCGTGATCCAAGGCATTCAAAAATTCGCATTTTTGGTCCCGTTCATCAAATTTGATGAGAGGAGACCAGAGAGACTAGGACACAGTTCCTCCCAGAGGGATGTTGAGCAAAGATCTAGATACTTCTCTAGTAGCTCACATCATAATGCAAGAGATCACTCTCCCCTGCAGCGTAGGGAAGGGTATGGAAAATCTATAGATAGCCCAGCCTCTGTGGCTCCTAGAACCAGGACCAGAAGCAAGGATGAAGAAGTGGCTCGTGAAGTGCAGGCAACTGAACCTATTTTGCCTCTAGAAGCAGTCGAAGTGGCCTTAGGAGAGCTGCGTGAAGTTATGGGACAATATGCTAACTGGTCCCGATCCAACAAAGAGTGCATCAAGAAAAGAGAGGGTTAAACAGGCAGAGGAAAACGGAGAGTTTGTAGAAACAGCTTAGGGAATGGTTCGAGCCAGTTTAACAATGTCAAACCAGGAGGTTTCTCTCCCCATTTCTCCTTCAAGATCTATTAGCCCGGTAAGAGTGTCAGTTGCTCTAAGATTGGGCTCTATAAATATGTTAATCCCTCCCCCTAGACCAAAGAAGAAAAGCATAGTGAAAAAGAAAGGTAGTAGGCTAGTTGGACGTCCACCAGGGAAGGCTCTTAGTATAGGAAGAAGCAACAACCAATCCCCAATGTTTCTCAAGAAGGAAAGTCCAAGAAGAAACAAAGATTATTTCTCTCCACAATCTCTCCGAAACGACGTTTAGATATGGATCCACATTTCGCAGCAGGTTTTATGCTCAAGATGCAGGGGAATCAAATAGCCCTCACCCTCAACCAGGCCCCTGTGGTCAGAACCAAGATAATATTTCTCAAGAAGGGACTTCCAAAAACTCGCGAGGTGCGTATTTTCGGCCCCGTCTCGGTCCCTGATATCTTCTTCTTTATGGGGACTAAAAATGCACCAACCACGACCCTGCAAGCGATGGAAGATTTGAGTTATATTTACAGCCAATTAGTAGCACCACATGGTCATGGAGGAAGAGGACTAGCACTGTTCTGGAAGAAGGATATTTGCATGTGATAACTTTATTTATTCAAAGGTTACTGTCCATCATAGTACCTTTTATGCTACTTTTGTATATGGCAATCCAGACATGAGTAAAAAAATCATTGTTTGGAGTGCTTTAAAGGATTTAGCAGCATCAAGAGAGGGTACCTGGTTTTTATCAGGTGAATTCAATGACCTGATGAGCAACTCAGAGAAAAAAGGTGGACCACTTCGTCCTGAAAGCTCTTTTATAGAGTTTAGATCCTTTATGTTTGAGTGTGATATTTAAGATCTGGGCTTCTCTGGAAATTGTCTCTCGTGGAGAGGAGTAAGACACAAACATGTTGTTTCCTACAGATTGGATCGTTCTATGGGTAATAGCTCTTGGGCTAAATCCTTTCCTGATGGTCGAAGCCAGTATCTGAGGTTTGAAGGGTCTGATCATTGTCCCCTTCTGACTCATTTCTCTATGAAGAAGAAGAAGAGGAGAGGATTGTAAGTATGACAGAAGGTTGAAGGATAATGAAGAGGTTAAAACCTTAGTCCAAACTACTTGGCAAGAAGAGAGTAACGCTTCAGTTTATACTTGCATAGCCAATTGTAGATCTGCACTAGTTGGCTGGAATAGAAAAAAGCAAAGGAACAACCAATTATGTATCAAGAGACATCATGATGAATTAGAAAAGGCAATGTCAAGCTCTGTTCTTATTGAAACCTTGTTGTTAAGATTAATGCAGATTTAAAATAGGCTTACAAGGAGGAAGAAGCCTTCTGGAAACAAAGGAGTAGGCAGCTGTGGCTATGCTTAGGAGATCAAAATTCAGGTTTCTTTCGCGCAGCCACAAGGGGAAGACAGGCTATCAACAAACTGTCAGTGATGGAAAATGAAGATGGAGTTGCAGTTTTTGAGGAGGATCAAATTGGGAGTGTTATTGCATCTTATTTCCAGAATTTGTTTGCTTCTCCATGTGTGGCTGATGGAAGTATGGAGAGTACCATATTGGAAGCTCTGTCGCCTTGTTTTTCAGATGTGGTTAACCAATCGCTTATAGCACCGCCTTCGGCTTCTGAGATTAAGGCAGCTGTGCTTGACATCCATCTAGGAAAAGCTCCAGGCCTGGATAGTTTTTCTGCTTGTTTCTTTCAATCTAATTGGGAAGCAGTAGGTCCAGCTATTGTTTCTGAAATCCAAGGGTTCTTTTCATCATGTGTTATGCCCCCAAATCTTAATGATACTTTCATTAGGCTTATTCCAAAGGGCCAAGCTTCAAAGAAAGTTGCAGATTTTCGGCCCATTGCGTTATGTAATGTTTATTACAACGCCATTTCAAAACTTCTCTCTCCAAGGTTGAAGCCAATTCTTCCCTCCTTAGTGTCAGAGAACTAGTCAGCTTTCATTCCAAGAAGAGTTATTGCAGATAATGTGTTAATCACACATGAGGTTCTGCCTTTTTTTAAAGTTTCTGAGGTTGAAAGCACTGCTATATGGCTGTCAAAACGGACTTAAGCAAGGATTATGACAGAGTGGAGTGGGGATTTATCCAGCAAGTGTTTCAGAGAATGGGTTTCCATCCCGCTTGGGTTAACTGGATAATGCAATGCGTCTCTGTTGTTTCTTATTCCTTTCTGGTGAATAACTCCCTTTATGGCAATGTTACTCCTCTGCGAGGTATAATACAGGGAGTTCCCCTTTTACCCTACATCTTTATTTTGTGTAGTGAGGTGTTGTCAGGGCTTTGTATGAAAGCGCAAAGGTCAGGTCAACTTTTGGGGATTAGAGTTGCGAGGGAGTGTCCAAGGGTGAATCACTTGCTCTTTGCAGATGACACGATGTTTTTCTGCAAAGCTTCCAGGAAAGCGTGTATGGCCTTAAGGAAGATTCTGCAAAAGTATGAAGCGGCTTCAGGGCAAAATATCAATGTGCTTAAATCCTCCATTTCCTTCTCCCGGAAAGCTTCTCTGTCTGTTAGAAAAGCGGCAAAATATATCCTTGGTATATCAAAAGAAGGTGGAGCTGGCAAATATTTGGGGCTCTCAGAGCACTTTGGGAGGAAAAAGAAGGACCTCTTTGTGTCTATAGTAGACAGGATCAGACAACGTGCTCTCTCTTGGTCCAACAAGTTTTTTTCTACTGCAGAAAAGCTCACTTTATTAAAAAGTGTCCTTTTTGCTATGCCCACATATGTGATGTCCTGTTTTCTCTTACATGTCTCTCTTTGCAAGAAAATCCAGTCCTCTTTGACAAAATTTTGGTGGGATTCTAACACAGACAAAAGAGGCATGTGTTGGACGGCTTTGCTGGGTAAACTAGCATGGATAATCTTCAGTAACCCCGACTATTTACTGGTTAGGGTCCTCAAAGGAAAGTACTACCATTCCTCCTCTTTCTTGAACAATAGCTGTCCTAGTTCTGCCTCCCATGGATGGAGGAGTATATAACTAGGGAGAGACTTGATTAAGAAAAACTTGGGATGGGTTGTGGGAGATGGGAAGTCCATCAATGTCTGGAATGATTCATGGTTGTCTTCCTCAAAGCAACTCTAGCCTTTTGGCCCTCCTTTTTTTGTGCTCAGAAATTTGTGTGTTAGTGATCTGATGGTGCAGGGATCGCTGGAGTGGGATGTGCATAAGACCAGTGATG